GGCTGAGGGGAAGGGGCGGCGGGTGAGGGGCGCGGCCAGGGCGGGAAAAGGAGCCTCCTGCCTTCCCTGGCGCTGGAAAGCAGCAATAACACCCCCCCCCAGCTATTTGCAGATTCGTATGAAAGGATCTGCCGTTACCTTGCCGAAGAAAGCCAGTCGGTGGTTGTGTCTGCGGGGTGAGTGATGCCAGCTCTGGAATTCCTCCCTTCGCCCCCCAGCACCGCAGCGCGGCCCACCTTGTGGGAGCGCTCCCCGGCACGGCGCTTCCCAGGTGGGCAGAAAGAATTTCAGCTGGACAGTTTTCATTTCTTCCCCGTAATACGCTAACACGGAGTGCGTGGAAACAGTCCCTGAAGCATAAGGTTCCAGTATCTCACAACACAGGGCTATGCTGGCACTACACAAAAAGAAGGAATACTTCCCAGAAGAGTTTGCTTACATGTTGAAAGCTTGACTACTAAACAAACTTGGAAGGTCATCATTCAGTAATCTGTTCCATTAGATGTAATCACCCTGCAAAATTCAAATGCTAGTGTATTTTAATACTAAGAATACAGAAAAATATAACTGCTATTCTCAGGATGAAATACTCTTAAGATAAAAGAGTGAGGTGCAGACAGAATAAAATACTTCATCCACAAGCCAGATGCATTCTACACCAGAAGAGTAAAATGAACTTGTATCCTTCAAGTTCTGATCAGTGCCATTTTCTGAAAATGATCTGAACTATGCTATGTCCTTGCTGCTGCATCCTACTGGCTGTCATTTATCTATGATAACTCGCTGAACAAATACCTGCTTAGCAGATAATGCTGCCATTTATTTATTATTATTTTTTTTGCTGAAGGAAAAATACTCCAAACAACACAGTGAAAGCCAAGGTGCTGTAAGAAATTTCTGTTTACAATTATAACATCTCCTCTTACACTTGTCTCTTTTTGTGCACTAGGTACCGCTTAGCTCCTGAGCACACCTACCCTGCTGCGTACGAAGACTGTCTCAATGCCACCATCCACTTCATGAAGGACATCGAGCACTATGGCGTGGATCCTGCCAATGTCATTGTCTGTGGGGACAGTGCTGGGGGCAATCTAGCAGCTGCTGTTAGCCAGACCCTGGCAGGCAGAACAGACCTCCCCAAACTACGTGCCCAGATCTTGATCTACCCAGGCCTTCAATTTACCATCCTATCATCAGAATCAGGGAGTCCGTCTCTTGTTCCGAGAACGTGCTGCTTTCTTTGCTTTGCAGTACCTAAATGGGGATGCATTGCATGTGCAAGAGGTCTTGGAGGGCTCTCATATTCCTCCAGATAAAATTTAAGGTCCGAGGTGTGAAGCCACTTAGGCCCACTGATTTTATAGCAGAAGTTTACGAGACAGTGAAAAGATTCTGCGAGCCCAACCTGTGTCCTCTGTTGGCTGAAGATGCTGTTGTTCACCAGCTGCCTGAGTCTTTCATCTTGACTTGTGAGTATGATGTGCTCAGAGATGATGGCTTGCTTTACAAGAAGAGACTGGAGGACAACGGTGTTCGAGTGACCTGGTACCACCTTGAGGATGGATTCCATGGAATCATGGATTACTGTGGTTTCTCATTTCCATCTGGGAAAAGGGGGTTGGACAGAATTGTTAAATTCATAAAAGGACTGTAAAAACAACTGTCTCTCTTTATGCCTTTCCCACTAATGCCTCTGTTTAGGCTCCCAAACCTCAGGTAGTACTTATTAGCAGAAATGTTGTATCTGTTGATGTGTAAAATACCAGTTTTTATGTTCATGAACTTTTCCTCATGAAACTATTGATCATTCTTTACAGTTGTAATGTTTTCCACATGCTGTGTTTCAATCCCTTTTCTTTCAAATCAGCATCTGGTTAATTCCTTGTATTTAATTACCAGATTACTTACTTCTATGTAAATAAAGTCTGTGGACTTACTTGGATTCAATAACTCCTGTGAATTACAGTCATGATCTTTGTGTTGTCTACTTGGTAAGCTGCAAAGCATGACTGCATTTTTTTTTAGGTAAAATGTAAAAATTAGGTATATAGTTAGCTGAAGGGTAGAGGAAAGCTCTGGAAAAACAGGTGGGGCCTGACTGGGGACACCTTGTTGGAGGCAAGAAGGGCTGCCCAGATTGTGAAATTCCAGTAGCTCTACAAACTCCCATTTAATTTTGACATCTCCATTACGCCCACTGAAGCTCAGGGCAAGAGATACTGGTTGAGAGGGAATAGGTCAGGTTTTAGAAAGATAATAAGGATCAGTAAACTGGGCTTCTGATTTGCATATACTGGAAGGTTTAGCATAAAGAGAGAGAAAATATGAACCAAGATGTATTCATGTTCTTTCAGAGAGTGGTGTTATTTGTTTTAGAATTTGTGCTGTGATGTTTCTCCATAGTTTGAGTTTTCTTTACAAGACAAGGCAGTCTGTTCCCTGACATCGTGTTTCATTATACCCAGCTGATGAAAGCAAGGAGGAACAGTAGTGAGCACACTCGAAATAGTAAGGCTGAGGGAAATTAGGTATATAGTTAGCTGAAGGGTAGAGGAAAGCTCTGGAAAAACAGGTGGGGCCTGACTGGGGACACCTTGTTGGAGGCAAGAAGGGCTGCCCAGATTGTGAAATTCCAGTAGCTCTACAAACTCCCATTTAATTTTGACATCTCCATTACGCCCACTGAAGCTCAGGGCAAGAGATACTGGTTGAGAGGGAATAGGTCAGGTTTTAGAAAGATAATAAGGATCAGTAAACTGGGCTTCTGATTTGCATATACTGGAAGGTTTAGCATAAAGAGAGAGAAAATATGAACCAAGATGTATTCATGTTCTTTCAGAGAGTGGTGTTATTTGTTTTAGAATTTGTGCTGTGATGTTTCTCCATAGTTTGAGTTTTCTTTACAAGACAAGGCAGTCTGTTCCCTGACATCGTGTTTCATTATACCCAGCTGATGAAAGCAAGGAGGAACAGTAGTGAGCACACTCGAAATAGTAAGGCTGAGGAAATGAAAATCCTAAGGAGAAAAATAAAAAATAATCCCCAAACTGAGGAAATAGGAAATTTGGCAAAAACAAATGCTGTCTTCCATTGATATTTCAGAGCAGAAAGGTCGCCCTTCCCTCCTCCAGCTTCCTGCAGGCTGCCGCGAGACAACGAACCCCTAGGGAAATTGCAGGGCAAGCAACGCACTGCCGGGAATCGCGCGGCGAACCCGCCAGGCACGCAGGTGCCCTGCAACCATCTGCAGCGGCAGTGAACCCACCCTCCGGCGCTGCGGCTTTTCCGGCCGCGCAGCGCGGGCAGCAGCCCTGCAACC